AATATTAGCATTTATTAACCCATCGTCAAGTACTTAAACTGCAGATCATGCGCTGGGATAATGATAAAAACACCAGGAAATTGTCAAAGGCCATACGTAAGCGCGTCAGTTCCGCGGAACATTAGACCAAAGGCTGACAGTGCTAGCCATTCATCGAGAATGCCAGGCATTATCCCAGCTCCCAGTACACCGGGCTGAGAGGGCCCCGGGGCGGCGGCCTATGTAAATGGCCAGTCCCAGCCGGTGCCAGCTCACTAATCTGTGAGGTGCCATGGCCGCGGCAGTAGTTTCCCTTTGAGCGCGCGGAGGATGAAGCCGACTGGGACAGGGTAGGAGCAGCTGGGCTCGAGGACGGAACCGGCTAGGGTCATGGTAGGAGCAGCTGAGAGCGAGGTCGGAACCGGCTAGGGTCATGGTAGGAGCAGCTGGGCTCGAGGACGGGGTCCGGGCCGGGACCCTCCGAGTCTCGTGCCTGACGCCATCACACACGCCGGTGTCACGATATCTGTCCGCTGGACAAAGCGTTCACCATCCACTAGCCCCATTCGCTTGAGATGTCCGAACAGTCAGCAAAAACCTTTGGCCCCTCCGTTACCAGTTCCTCTTCCCTCATCCCTGGTCGTCACCACAAATCACCGGCCTTCAAGAGAACACCTTCCGGCGATCAAAGGACATCCCTCCCTTCCCCCCTTCCCTCTGAATTGTCAAACCATCTGACCAGCTGCCCGCGGTCGCATCATGATGTCCAGGTGAGCCGAATACCCCGGTTGATCCCTCACACCACTGCAGGATGACCGAGGGCTGGCTCGGAAACCCGCTAAAATCACACCATCCTCCCAGTCGTCCGGCCTCCCCAGCACCTTTGTCTAATCGCACAGCGATCGCCGGCAGAACAGGCTGGTCCAGCCAGCTACAGGACCTGAGTGGTCTCCGCTCCTCAGTTCCAACCGAACCAAGCCGGTGAAAGAGATAGAGCCCGACCAAGTCGAGCGTACATAAGCCGAGCCGATCAGTGCCAAATGGAGGCACGCCGCGCGGCCGGGCGTCGAATGGAGCCGCGCCGTACCAGTCGGTCTGTCACCGAGCCGGACGGACGGGCGGGCGGAGGAATCTCAGAGGATCATCCTGCGTGCGAGATGGCGCCCGCCCGTCACATACCGAGGGCGGCACAACACGCGCGCACGCGCCGCAGCTGGAATGCAGCCGGACCGAGCCGGCCGATCGCAGATTGATCATCGCTGGTCGGCCGCTGCCTCTCACAGAGCGCGCAAATAAGTCCGAGAGGCGGCCGGGTGGCCGGCAGACCGCCACGCCCGTCTGTTTTGACCGGTTCGCCGCATACGCCGCGGTGACATGTCACAAATCACGCGCGTGACGCCGCGCGACTGCAGGACTCGGAGCGACGCCGAGACGGGCGGGTGGATGGTATGACCAGCCTCGATCTCCGGCCGTCAGATTACGGGAGCGGCTGAACGCGTCCTCACGGCGCCGCCGAGCAACCGAAAAGAGCGAGGGCCGGCGCCAAGGTCAGCTGACGACCCGGATCGTCCGGTTAAGCCGCCGTGACCTCGGAAGGTAGGGGTCAGGTCCCGAGTGGCCGGCGGACAGCGGTCGGATGGCGCCTGGAGGTCCCAGCTGCGGACAGTGCGCTGATGGGGGAAGTGTGTTCACCAGTGGGGATTACTAAGGGACACAGCGCGTGACTTGAATGTTTCGTGGTGGCTCTGGCTTGTCTGTGTCCAAACGGTTAATATTTGGTTAATATAAAAAACCAGCTAAAATGTAGTGTTTCGCTAAGCAGGAAGACAAAGCCGAGTAATCAAGAAAATAATATTTACTATGTCCAGCTAGTAACCAATATCGTTTAAAAATGCACGAATTGTGCTCCGAGGGATGTCAGTGTCACTGCCCCCATCACCGAGTCTTGTCTGATGCGTTTTCTGTCACGGTTACCTCGAACATGAAACTGAAAGGAACAACTCAGATCCCCGAGGTCAGTTCAACTGAGTTGAACGCATGCCTTGCCATCTGGATCGGGATCATACGTCTAGATCGTCCTTCATCTGGTACACAACATTATTATCCATGCCTGAGATGCTCTCAGCATCCTCCAGCGGAGGCCAGTGAATGCCAGCCTTCCACAAATTCTTACGGTCCTGTGCACCGCCCGTTTTGTAAGAGCGCCCATGTCCACCCACGACTGTGAGCCGGTCGCAGCGGCCTTCTGCAGGCCAAATCCGCCGGTGCCGACCTTGCGGACGGGCGCGCTGCGGTTGGGTGAAAGTACATCACCTGACGCTGCTGCACCGGACGCCGACGGACACATGTCACCGGAGATGAGCCCTGGATGGGAGGGACGGCGGGCCGGAGCCCTCCCCCAGGCTGGGAGGGCCGGCGGGCCGGAGGGAGCCCTCCTCAGGCTGGGAGAGACGGCGGGCCGGAGGGAGCCCTCCTCAGGCTGGGAGGGACGGCGGGCCGGAGGCGGGAGCCCTCCCCAGGCTGGGAGGGCCCTCCCCCGGCCACCCCCGTGAGTGTTGGGCACAGATGCCCGCGGGAGCAGACAGCTCCCTAACGGAGATAATGGACGGGGTGCAAAAAACGCTACCCAGCACAGACTGTTCCTAAGTGTGACCATTCAAAACTGCCAACTCCATCCAACTGGGTTTCACACCCAAAACAATCTGCCTGCTCCAGATATCTTACAACTGCTTGGGAGAGCCCAGGCAGTTTTCCAACGGGAAAAATGGCTCAGGCGGCAGCGCTCAGCAAAATCGGCGGCCGGTTCGATCCAATTATGAGCGGCCCGGTAGGCCGGTCAGATGAGCACGCAGGTCTGCACAGAACGCTACGTAACTACAATATGATAAATTGAACGTCAGCTGCTCAAAATGTTTGATGGATGTTTTGCCTACATCATTTGGTAAAGAAACAAACAGCGGATAATACATAACTGAATGTGGGATGGGATTCCAGACTCTCTACAGCTTCTGCTCGTTGGTTAAGTCGTAGTAGGAGTCACGCAAGCACAGTGTACTGGTCGATATTGCTGGCACGGATACTGCACGCAGAACATATAATTGACGGCTGCGAATAGAGTAAGAGCTGATGCATTTGTAGATAAACTTGTTAATCCATATTGTGCCAATTGACCAGGAACGGCACAAATCCAGTGTAACATCCCTACACTCCTGTGTATTTCTTCCGACCTGGATCGACTGCATGGAGTCGCTCATAGGTCCTTCGCCAAGCGGGAGTCAGGAGGCGGTCCTGATCACCACCCTCAGCAGACGCTGCCACCCTCTGCGAGAACATCCCTCTCCCCTCCCTGTCCTGCCCACCTGTCGGTCGAGCACATTGCCCCAACAGACGGTAAATAACTTTTGAAAATACCAATTTCCAATTTTAGTGTTTTCTGGACCAAAATTTTGCGAGGAATCCGATGGTGTGGTCCCCGAAATCTGAAAAATTTCCATTTTGGAGATAGCACCTATTTTTTGAAAAATAAATATTCGTCAGGCTTAATAGTCAAATAAATTGGAAATATAATGAGTTAATTTTTGTAACAACACTAGAATGTGTCGAACATGAATTAGAGATATATTTTAGCTGAGATGACACTATATCTGCGCATACATGTACATGAACTAGTACATTAACCCTCGTCGGTCGAGAAGGGGTGGGGCGGGTGCCGCCTAATAGGGCTTTTCGCGATAGCTTAAAACTCGCTTAGGGTAGACAGCTGAAACTTGGCATACCTAATCTTTTATTCAAGCTGGATCTTTTGACCTCAACTGCGTTTTCAGGTCAGGTCAGGTCACTGACCTATGACGTCATAAATGAGCCTCTGCACGGTCCTCAGAAGTTGCAACTTTGCAACGCCCTCAGTGCCAGAGGAACTTTCACAGGAAGATGAAACTTGCAGGACCTAGTATCCTTTAGAGGTCTCACAACTTATATATCTTAGATTTTTCCCAAATGTCACATGAGGTCAGTTCGGTCACGTGACCTCACCATAATAAGTCAATGGGGGAAATATGAAAACTGCTATTTTGGCGCCGGAAATGATCTAAAACTGTCCCAAGCACATGAAATCGTGGTTTCATGTACTCTTTGTAAGGTCCGATCATGAAACCACGATTTCATGTGCTTGGGATAGTTTTAGATCATTACCGGCGCCAAAATAACAATTTTCGTATTTCCCCCATTGACTTATAATGGTGAGGTCACGTGACCGACCTGACCTCATGTGACATTTAGGAAAAATGCGAGATATACAAGTTGTGAGACCTCTGAGGGATACTACGTCCTGTAAGTTTCATCTTCCTGTGAAAGTTCCTCTGGCACTGAGGGCGTTGCAAAGTTGCAACATCTGAGGACCTCGCAGAGGCTCATTTATGACGTCATAGGTCAGTGACCTGACCTGACCTGAAAACCCAGTTGAGGTCAAAAGATCCAGCTTGAATAAAAGATTAGGTATGCCAAGTTTCAGCTGTCTACCCTAAGCGAGTTTTAAGCTATCGCGAAAAGCCCTATTAGGCGGCACCCGCCCCACCCCTTCTCGGCCGACGAGGGTTAATGTACTAGTTCATGTACATGTATGCGCAGATATAGTATCATCTCAGCTAAAATATATCTCTAATTCATGTTCGACACATTCTAGTGTTGTTACAAAAATTAACTCATTATATTTCCAATTTATTTGACTATTAAGCCTGACGAATATTTATTTTTCAAAAAATAGGTGCTATCTACAAAATGGAAATTTTTCAGATTTCGGGGACCACACCATCGGATTTCTCGCAAAATTATGGTCCAGAAAACACTAAAATTGGAAATTGGTATTTTCAAAAGTTATTTACCGTCTGTTGGGGCAATGTGCGAGGGTGGCGCCCGCTCCCCGCAAGGAGACCCCCCCCCCTCTCCCTCCCCGTCTGTCTACCTAGGGTGGAGCGCCTCCCCCTGCGAGGGGACTCCTCTCCCTCCCTGGTAACTCTACCCACCTGTCTGTCGAGCGTGGCGCGCCTTCCAAAGCGCCGGCCGGCCGCCAGCGCAGCCGTCTCGTCCCCGGAAAAACTCGAGCCGGGAGACACCGAGCGGCCGCCGTGCTCGGCCGTCGACAGCTGCGACAGCGTGTCTGACATCTGGCGGAGAAAACGACAAGCTCAGGTTCGCCGTACGCACACCGCGCGCCAATGTCCGACGGAGCTAGGAGGGTCCCAAGGCGTAGTTACCGTTCAGAAATGCGATCATTTACTTTCTTTCGCAAAAACCAGGTGAAATAATATGAATTATCCAAATTATACCAAATAATATTAGATTTCAACATTGATCCATTCTCTATTTATACGAAGCTGTTACAAAATATAGATACTTGTAAAACTTCTGTTTTACAGGGGTTCATAATAGGGTGTAATCACATTTTCTTCCAGTTGAACCATAACCTGCGATGCGCTGACCTGAAAAGCAGAGCAGCAACATTGTCACACGACATGAAAATGTAAAAAAGATGCAGATGCAACAAATCGATCCTCCTAAGCATTGGGTCACACAGTATGTTCAAATGATTATAAATCGACCCACAGCAAATGACTTCCTCTCCCTTTGACTAATGACTGACCTCTTACTCAGTGACTGAACACACGTCCCCCTGCTCCATCCCTTTGCCCACCTTGTAGCTGACGATGCTGCCAGCCAGGGCGCGCGTGCTGGCGCCCGGCTGGTCGTCCAGCAGGGAGGTGGTGCCCACAGAGCGCTCAGAGCGCGCGTCGGCAGCCAGGGAGCCGGCCTCGCCCAGGGAGCGCTCCGAGCGGGCGTCACTACAGAAACTGAGCCGCTTCCCGGTGCCGGCCTCCATCCGGCAGGTGCTGAACAACAGAGAGGGCAGAGAACAGTCAGTAACTGAGCCGCTTCCCGGTGCCGGCCTCCATCCGAGAATTGACCGAACGACGTCGGGGAAGGGGTGATAACGGAAGTCGTCGATACTGGCGGGCGGCTCATCTCATTCAATATTAGAACCTGTCCTTTGGCAGACATCGTCTTCTTTCGGTTTCGGTTAATTATCAGAACCCTCAGTAAGTAGCGCAGCAACATGACGTTCAAGCTCAATCCAACAAACACGTGAACCAAACACAACGTACAAGAAGCCCGCAGGAGTGACTGCATCTTACTTATTTTATCCTTCACTCTCAGAATACTCCTTACGAACCTGAGATTCCTTCCCTGTCCTGCTCTCACCTGGTGGCGCCGCCGCTGTAGACGCTCGGCGTGTGGCCGTCAGGCGTCAGCCCCCCCTCTATGTTCCGCAGCTATTCTCACCTGGTGGCGCCGCCGCTGTAGACGCTCGGCGTCAGGCTGTCGGGCGCCACAGCTGTGACGCTCGCCGACTCGCGGTCACTCTCGCCGGGTCCGGTAATGGCGCGGTCCAGCTGAGAGCTGGACGCCCACAGGCCGAACCCCTCGCCGATGGAGGGGTACGGCGTGCCGGGACGGTGTGACAGCGTGTCGCTGCTGCCAGCGTCTGCCGAGAGGGGGGGGGGCATGAGTGAGACGGGCAATGACGGTTCGTAAGGGGGGGGGGGCGTAGGTAGAACAGCATTAACGATGCATCCCACAAGAGCATATTCATTTATTTTCACCAGCTCCGAAGTGAACAGCGACTTGCGTATTAGATGAACATAAATGAAAGTCGGCAGCTTGCATCAGCCCCTGAAAATCCGCCATCTACGTATGATTAAGCCATATTGCATACCCACGCTCGAACCAATCGCGGTGTGTGGGAAGGAAAAAAAGAACTTAAACACAAACGTCCTGAACACCTCAATCTACGAAGTCCTCCCCCTCCCAATGGCCCAGCAACCTGTTCCTCTCCCTCACCGGTCTGTCGGGCGCCGGCGGCGAGGTCCAGCGCGTCGTTCTCGTCGTCGAACTCGAACCGGACGCCCTGCGGCGTGGTGGAGAGTCCGCAGCCGCCGGCGCGGCACAGCGAGAACGGTACGACGCCGTAGATGTAGGCGAGCAGGATGGGCACGCCGATACTGACTGCCATCAGCGACAGCGCCGGAGACGTCAGAGCCTGGAAAGATCAGACGGGGGGGGGGGGGTCAGCGTCTGGGGAAACATCAGGGGGCGGGTCAGCGCCCAGGGTGAGATCGGAGGGGTTCAGTGTCCGGGGCAACACATCTGAGAGGAGTGTCAGCTCAGCACCTTGGACATATCAGAGGAGGATGTGTTAGCTCAGCGCCACAAAACATATCGCGGAGGGGGAGGGGGCCCGGGGTAGCGCCTGATAGATAAACGTGAAGCAGTAGCGTCAGGTCATCCTGCAAGGACACAAAGGAGGTGGGTCAAGTCACGTATCAGTGACGTAGGGACAACGGTGGCTCAGCTCAGCTTGTGGAAGCTGGGCTGGGCTTTCGTTCAGCGTTCGGCGTAGAGACCACGCGAATGCTGGGAATACTAATGGCGGGCGGACAAAGGACCTCCAACCAGAAGGAAAGGTGTGCTCTGAAAACTGCTGTAGGCTTTCAGAACTGTCGTGAACTATTGAAAAGCCCAAACTCGACCCAGAACGGCAGCATCACGGGCGCTTTTTCCCGGGTGCCGATGGCCCCTCTCAGCACAGCAGCTGATCCGCCAATCCCAGCGCTCAGCGGCTCTACGTTCAGTCTCAGCGGCTCTACGTTCAGTCTCAGTGGCTCTGCGTTCAGTCTCAGCGACTCTGCGTTCAGTCTCAGTGGCTCTGCGTTCAGTCTCAGCGGCTCTGCGTTCAGTCTCAGCGGCTCTGCATGCTGCGGCTCTGCTAATTAGGACACTGAATGGGATATGCGGTAACTGAAAACAGCTGAAATACTTCGAAAAAGAGAATGGCAATTATTGGTGTAATGTGCACAGCCACTAGCGTTGCTTTTTCAGTTGTACTCCAATACCCGAAACACCACAGGGGTGCAGGTTGGACATCGCACAAAGCCGCTATACGTTCAAATGTCTTCATTTTGATAGAAAACGTGCTAGCAGACAAGTTGGTGTAGAGGAAAATAACTCCATTAAGCTAGCCTAGGTCAGCCAAAGGCAGTCGTGATTTGCCGATGATGTACTTCCGAGGAGCGTTCGAGACCAAATGCGAGCCTTTGGCAAAAACGAGCACGGAGAACGGACATCTGAGCTCGGCTAGTTAGTGTGGGTAGCGCATCCTTCCGAGATGTAAACCATTAACCGGTAACATGATACCAGTCATCATCGATTGATCTGTTCGGTGGATGGTGGATAATGACCGTCAGTATCCCAACGATCGGTGGTCGGTGGATGTTGGATGTCGGTTTGTGGTGGATGGTCGGTAACACTCGATGGTTGCTGAATAATCGGTCACAGGGCCGTCATGGTACCGCCATGAGGCGCTATGGCCCCGCTGTGGTCCCTCCTTGGTCTCGTGTGATATTGTGTTCGGCGTGCGTCGCCATGGTCCCGCCGTGGTCTCTCTGTGGTCCCTCCATGGTCTCTCTGTGGTCCCTCCGTGGTCCGTCTGAGGTCCTTCCGGCGTGCGCCGCCGTGGTCCCGGCGTCCCGCCGCAGGTCGATAGCCGGGCCGTGCTCGGCCGTCGTACCTGTCCCTGCCACCGTCTCCGGCGACCGACCCACCGACCGACCGACCGACCGACCGAGCGGCGGGAGGTCGGCGGAGCAGGCCAGGGAGCGACCCCGGCGCACGGACCCTCCACCAGCGACACTGCACGGGACCGACCTCTGCCAACGGCACTCAGGTGAGACCACGACCAGCACGCTAGCAGCAAAGCGCATCAAAGACTGTAGACGTAATTTCATATTTTTACTTTGCCTGGCACTAGCAATCCCCAGGCAAAAGGCTGCCGCGTTCTTGTCTATAAAAACGTTCACAAGTGTGCGTCAATTATCACTAAACGATGTAAACTATCGATGGAAGGCTGATGTCGAGTAAATACGACTCAATTAAGGCCGCGGTATTCTCACAGACCGCCTGTTTTGCAGCCACAGTAATCGCAGAGAAGCCGTAAAGGCGCTTCACCAAACCGATGCTCTATTGGTTAGCATCCAGCTGAGGCGCTAAGATCATACACATCCAGCAGTCGGCTGTAGTGTTAGGGCGTCAGTACGCTGAGCATTCGGCTCCATCTGTTGTAACTAGACAAATGGTGGTAGCGGAAACATTTCTATTGTGTATCATTTTTCGTGACTTAAACAGAACTAACAGATGGACAGGAAAAAAACGACAGAGAAAACGTCGCATCCGCAGAGTGCCTGATGTCTTATCTCGTCCATTTCCGATCGGTGTCCGGAGCAGTGCCACATGGCTGCTGAGCGACTTAGCGGCTCTACAAGCACGTTACTTCTCATTCATATCCGTCTTACTTTTGAACTTACCATCATCCAACTGATCCCGGAAAATAGATCACCGCCCATCACCATCGTAGCATCTTCATACATTGTGCCCTTTACCACTCCCCCGAAATCCCGACCGGCGTCACACCCCCTCGCTCGTCATTTTCCCCGGCACCGTCCATCCGTTGTCTGACCGGACCATCTGCTGCAGGTCTGACCGTCCCGGGGCGGCTGATGGCCCAGCCGGCCCCGGCGGCGGCGGCGGCGGCGGCGGCGGCGGCGCGGGTCAGGTCGGCCCGGGGCGGTCTCAGCAGCGACCTATACCGGCGCCAGCTCATCTGGGCTGAGCGGATTGAGCAGGAGGCGCGCGCGAGCCGCCGATGGCAGCACCACTGGGGAGACCTGGCGAGTGGGCCCGCCCTGAGAGCCAAGAGCTGCCCTCCGGCGCGCCAGGAGTCCTCAGAGAGAGCCGGTCGGAAAGACAGGCAGAAGAGGACTTGTGCCGAGAAGAGCAGGACGACTGGTGACGGACAGAGGAGGACCGGTAACGGACGCCGGTCAGAGGCTAGCCCGTCGCCGCCGCGGCCTCCGCCGGCACCCCGGACCAGCGCCGGCGTCATCGGGTGGAACGTGATGCCAGGACAGCGACTGGAACCGTTCGAAAAACGCTACAGGAAGAGACGCGTCATCACCTGACCGGCGAACAATGAGCCGAAGACAATCATCAATTGAATTATGGCCTGGTATCCAAGCCAGCGACTGGAGCTGTCCACGATCAGCGCAAGAAGCGACAGTTCAGCAAACACTCCGCACAGCTTCAGGCCCGTCTTCATCTGTAACGATCTAATATGATTCTGACATATTCCGTCCGATATCTTACAGTTTAATAAAATATTGAACAAAGCCTCATCGAACCAAAGCTGTCGGCTCCACTTATCGCACCTTTTCCGGATGACCAGTGGCGCGCAAACATAGATACAGTCAGTCTGATACAGATTGGACGTCGGCGCCGGTCCTCCCCGTCCAGCCAGGTCGGCCGAGTTGCCGCCGCCGTACCGGATCTAATTCTAGCCTCGCCGTGCGCGCTGACCACCTCTCGGGGCCCGCCGTCTGACACGGCTCCGGCAGTAGATTTAGCGCCGCCGGCCCTGATTTAATTGACATTCACCGGAGCCACGCTCCTGCTGCGCGAGACGACCCCAAGGGGTCGGTAAATTTAGCAGCCGGACTTCGGAGGCATACAGGCGCGCTCCGAAAGGTTAGAGGACTAGGGATAAATGAGATGCAGACCTGCTCCCTTGGGTTGTCGGTGAAAGGTCGCGGCTAAGCACCATGAACATTGAGCAATGTGCTTCGAAATAAAATGCATCGGCGCGGCTGTACGACGGACATTTGAATTATATTAGGCTAGATTATGTTAACAGGCGCAAAAGACCGGAGGATGGCGAGACTTGGAGTTCGTTTTCGTTGTTTGGCATGACTGAACTGAAGGCACCATCCCACCCAGCCCAACGTGCGACAGATGACCATCGACCGGTACATAACCCTCTGATCTTCTCTCCCTCACGCTGCCGAAACTTCGACACGAAGTCGCCACATCCCAAACTCGTAGCCTGCAGCGCACCCATAAACTGTATCGAACCGATACGCTGCAGCGCCACCGTAACTTGCCGGCAAAGAGTCGTCAAACGACGAGCGCCAGATTTAGCAGCGATCGCCGCCGCTGCGCCGGGATCGCCGCCGGTTTACTACCGCGCCATAATGCGCGCGTCGCACCGCTGGTGATCATAGCGTGACGTATGGCGCATAAATGAATTGGGCCAGGCCGTTCGGTCCCTGCCGGCGAAAAGTTGACCCCTGGCGCCAGGCACGTGCCGCTTTTAAACACGTCCTGATTGGCCTTTACTGAGGGGATCGTGAATCTCCGCCGGCGCCATGAACTGTCTGGGGCCGCGGCGAGGGACCCGTGGAACTCTGCGGCTCGCCGTGGAGTGGTTACGGGTCAGTCCGAGCTGTAGAGAGCGGCGCTGGACGTGCCGCGAACTGGCAGTTCGCCGTGGAGTGGTCACTGGTCACTGGTCAGCCTGAGTGGCGGATAGCGGCGCCGGCCATACCGCAGCCAGATAGACCTGCGGCGGGCCGTGGAGTGACCACTGGCCAGTCAGTCTGAGTGGCGGAGAGCCGGCCGCAGCGCGGTCCGTCGGGAGCCGCGGCCGCCGAGATCAATACACGCTGCCGCCGGCGACGACACGGTCACTCGGCGGCCGCCGTGATTGCCAGTCGGCTCCGGAGCGGACGGGTTGCGCCGCCGGCCAGCCGCCAGTGGCCGCTGAACGGGCTGTAATCCACCCAGGATCGCCAGATCCACGGCGAACTCGGCTCAGCAGATGGCCACTCTAAGAGCGTTTTGATGGGCCGAGTTTGGGGCACTCGACCGTGCATGACTCCTGAAAGATGCAGACGTAAAATATTTAACGGCCTTTCTACGGTTAACGACTCGCTGTCAGGAAGATGACGGCCGTAGAGGGACCGAGCAGTGTCTGGGCGACTCCGCGGCGCCCGAGATACGTCCAACAACTGACCAAAACTTAACACACAATCACCGCGAGTTTCCAAGTCGTACTACAAAAACAGAACACCGCCAAACTCCCGCAATCAAAAATCTGCCGCGCGTTTCCCGAACGCTTTTGAAGCGGACTTGGCGATGTGTTGTGGAACGCCTTGGTAACTTCCAAACCGCACAATAGGATTTCGTCGATCCTTTTTGTCTGGGGAAGTCTAGCGAAGCCCGAATAACAGCGATAGAAGCCCCAATTCGGCGCGAGAGCAGTGACCGATCCACTTGAAACAATAGTGTGCAACAGGGCACGATAATGTAAATTGAGACACTGAAACAATCGCACTGGAAGTCTAGGACTGCTCAATACATTTCAATAAGGCAGTAAAAAGATGTTTTTTCTTGGTTCACACCAGTTGAGCACACGCCACAAAGACATCATGAGACAAAAACGATCTACTCAGAATCGATCCTACTCGTATTACAAGATTCATCCATCCACCATTCATTTGTCCATTCCGTAAATGAAGCGATATGAACATCAAACACACAGTGGTGCCTACGTGAGGGCCCACTCCCGGCACAGGTTGGAGTAACTCTGGCGTCCAGTACATGAGATTATAAACGAGGATAGTCTGCGGTTGATGGGCACAGCCGCAGCAGCAGCCAGCTCCGTCAATGAGCGAACAGTGATCCGATGAACTACACAATACTGCAACTGATCGGGCTATCCCTATTGGAAAATGGAAATGACTATGAGGACTACTCAGAAGTCTCGCTCAGCGCCGGCTCTGTCGCCATCACTTTATGCATTCAAACTACCCAAAAGTCCACTTATGCTACAAACTGATGGATTGACGGACATCGTTCCGACTTCTGCAACGAGTCAACCCATCGCTCTGCAGCTCACAACTCGCCCACAGCCCGAGACCCCTCGGGCAGACTTCGGACGGAGGGGAGACACGGTGCGGTCACTGCTGTCACCACGGGTGCCAGCCGCCCGTCGTGTCCGTTCTGCTCCTGACACGGCAGCAGCCGCCGGTCACACACGGCTGCAGCCGGGCCGGGGCGGGGGCGGGGGCGGGGGCGGGGGCGGGGGCGGGGGCGGCGGCGTCAGTGTGCCAGCCGCGCCCCGGTCTCACACACCCGTCCACCATCGATCCGCCGGCACGGCACTCTGGCCAGGTGAGTCCGACTCTGTCCAGAGCAGGTGAGCCCGAGGAGACGCACACCTGCCCCGTTCTGAGGAGATACTCGTACTCTGACTAGGCTTCGTGAGCTCAGGTAGGACACAGGTCAGTGATAGTGTAAACGGGATATTCTGGCACTTGGTCTTAATATTGCAAGGTATTCCAGATTTGGCGTGTTAGCTCAAAAAGAAGGTGCGATAAGTGTCATCAATGTTTCAATGCTCCAACTTGTCATCATTGGCCATCCGGTGGTCTCGGTTTGGCGGTGGCCAACGTATCTTGTCTATCAAGGTCACATTGAGCGGTGCAGCACTTATCGGCCGTGACTGCAGTAGCAGTACCGGCTGCATATCGGCAGCGGCTGCGGATCGGCAGCGCTGACCGTTCACATCCCGCCGGAGACAGCTGCAGAACAGATAGCGGACGGACGGCACAGCTCACATTATCCACCCAGAGCAACAGACCCGCAACCCAGAGCAACCTGCCGGATCTCGCCACCCGTTCTCTCAGCTTACCTTACCCCAATCTCCCAAAATCCCAGGACCCAGATCTGCAGCCCAGAGCCCGCCATATCTCATCCCTGTTTCTCTCAGCAGTCAGCTTCCCACCACCCGGTTATCGCGCGTCCTTGACCTTCGCTACCACCAAAACCGGGACCCAGCGGCTCCTCTACCTTGCTGCAGCTCGGCTGGCCAGTCTCTGACGGCCGCGTCCGCTGAGCTCCCTCCGTCTTCATTCATCATCGGGAGCTGACAGCGGAGCATATACGGCGGTGGACAGGATGTGGGCAGAGCGGCAGCCAGGTCAATACGCGCTCCCGACCGAACCCCATCAGAATCCCTGATCGGACCCAAAGCAAACCAGTATAATCACACCGACCGGACAAGCCACATTACCACCAGCCGCAATGAATGGCTAGACCAGCCACAATGGACTGCCAGCCAGAAAGTCGGTGACAGCTGGAATTGTGACATACGGCACGGCTGCAAAAAGTCACAAAAACTGTCGGTGGGATGTTGATCCCCGCCGGCTGGAGCCTTGTGGCGTCAATTGGAGGAATGAGTTTCAATTGGTGACTCACAGGGAAGGGACCGTCGAGGGGACCTGGGTCGGGTGACCCGCTCAGAGTCATCCAGTGCTTGCGCCTCGCTCTGGCCTAGTTGTGCATAACTTGAGCGTCAATTCTATGCAGCCAAGTCCGCTTATGCAGCTCGCCTCCTCCTACCACCCCAGCCACGCGCAGCTCGGTCCACCCCCTCTACCCCTGGCCCGGGCCCAGCACGGCCGGCCGGCCGCTCGTGATGAGCTGCGCTCGGCATTAGCCACTTCCGGCGTGCCAGCCGCACCGGAAGTGGACGTCTTCCGGTCGGCAGCCGGCCGGGCCCGCCAATGCCAGCGCCGGCCTATAGAGCGGCCCCAATAGTGATGGAGATCGTCCAATTCGCCTTACAGGGTTTAGTGCTGTCGGTGGCAGATAGAGAGACATAATTACGAACCATCGATTTTCCGCTAGAAAAGATACTGAGAATACGCAGCTTTTCGCCAAGTGCTGCGGCTTTTTAAAGACACAATTTCGCACGGAAAAACAAGCATCTTGACAATATGGCGAAAGAGAATCGCTGGGAAAGAAAATAATAGCCGTTTTTCATCACCAGCAATTTTGGCGGCGCTGAATGATGACCGCTACATTATCCAAAACAAGCCAAAACAACTCGCATCCGTTCAAGTGCGTGCGATCTATCATTCACAGTGGAGGTCATTAGTTTGCAGATGAGACTCACGTTCATACAGTGTTGAAATACCGGTTCAGTTACACAGTTACACAGTTACACTGAAAATGCTTTCTTTCTCATTTTATCGATGTAACCAATCCAATATTCAAATTCGCAGCCTCATTCCGTGGAAACCAAATTCCATGTCATATCCATCTCCACCAAGCTGTTCCCGTTTAGTTGAGCGGCGTCTGTTCAGCCGTGGGGGCGCGGTCGCGGCCCCACCGGCCACTGACCGCGTCACGTGGGGCGTCACGGAGAGGTGCGGCGCGTCACGGTCGGCGGCGGGTGTGACGGCACCACCCGTGACGTCGGCCGCGACCGGTGAGCGCCCCTGTTCCGTGATTCACCCCACCCTTACCGTGAGCACCGGACAACGGCGATAGCGGCAAAAACATACCGTATCTTTTACATCGAGTGCATCGACAGCATTGTGCACTAAGCATTGTGCACGAAGGAAATGAAGTAAATGAATGAAGGCATGAATACAGAGCTTCTCCCAAGCGGCTCAGACTGGAAGGCACCGGCTCATTCCAGCCAGACACAGAGCGCACGGCCGCCAACCGGCCAGCTCGGGCGACGGGGCGGATAATTCGCCGCCGCGCGGCACCTGGTGTCCCGTTAGCCGGGGACGACACCGGTCGACTGTTGCTCGTCCCCACCCGTCGCCCATTAGCGCTCGTCGAGGAGAGACACCTATTAGTGCCGCCAGTGTGCCGGGCCGAGCGGCGGCGCCGGCGGCCGCGCCGAGCCCCGCCGGCGGCGGTGCGGGCTCCGCGGCAGTCGGTCGGTAGCCGTCGGAGCAGCCGGAGCCCGAGCGCGACCGGCGGTGAGACGTACCGAACACAGTCGGTGATCGACGACAGGAGAGCGGAGAGGCCGAGCACTGAGTGTGTGGGAGTTGCAGTGGCGGAGAGGGCTGAAGAAGGGACCAGAGACGTACAGGAAGTGGGGAGTCTGTTCGCCTAAGGACGGGTCTGGGAAGCAACTGTCGTAGTCTTCACAGTCCTGCAGTGTAAGTGATGAAGGGTATTGTAGTTCATTACAATTTACAACGTGTCCCTTTGGAATGTTTATCCATTTCTGACGTAAACAAGTTCGTAAAACAACAGTTCTTAAGCTCGAACATAGTTATATCTTCCATTACTTCGCGCTGGGTTTCTGCTGGGCTTGAGTGGCATTACACCAATCCCTTGTTGTTTCCACAGATATTGAGGGGAGCCGCAGCACATCCTCTGGCAGACCCTCGTGCCCAACCGGGACAACACCGACCCACGCCGTGTCGGTGCCGCCGTCAGTCTCTGCACAGATCGGCGCCATGTCCGGCGAGGAGGGCATCACCCAGGCGTGGCTGCAGACGGTGCTGGTCGGATACCTGCAGAAGGAGCGCGGAGCCGCCGCCGTCAGCGAGGCCGACCCGCCCGACATCGACGACTACGAGATCACCGCGCTGGACGAACGAGACAGCGCGCTCAGCGACCTGCTCGCCATCAAGGTGCGCTTCCACGGCGGCGGCGGAGCCAAGGCCGGCAGCGGCAGCCAGACGGCCCGGCTGGTGGCCAAGCTGCTGCCGCAGGACGCCGTCAGCCGGGCGACCGTCCAGGAGGCCGGCTTCGACCGGCGCGAGATCGGCGTCTACAGCCGCCTGCTGCCAGACGTAACCGCCTTCCAGCGCCGCTGTCTGGGCTCGGCGCTGCCGCCGCTGGCCCCCGTCTGCTACCATGCCGAGCACAAGCCGGACTGCGAGAGCATCCTCGTGCTGGAGGACCTGCGGGCCAGTGGCTTCAGCGTCACCGACTTCTCTGCGTGTCTGACAGAGGAGCGCGCGCGGCTGGCGCTGACGCAGGTGGCGCGTCTTCACGCCACCACGTTCGCGATGCGGGTGCGTGACGGCGTGGACCTCCTGACCAAGTACGACTTCCTGCTACGGCCGCAAGAGGCAGCCGCGCTCTACGACCACTTCCTGGGCCGCGGCCTGCCGCACCTCATCGACTTCCTGAAGGGCCTCCAGCGCGCCGACCTCGCCGGCGTCATCGCGCGGCTCAAGACGTACGTCACAGAGAACACGGCACTCTTCCACAGCCTGGTCACCGCCAAGAGCCACCTCTCGGCCGTGACACACAGCGACTTTTGGTGCAACAACCTGCTCTTCCGCGACGCTCCGTCCGGCGGCGCGGCGGGCGGTGCCGACGCCGGCGCGCAGTGCCGCGTCATCGACTTTCAGCTGGCGCAGGTGAGCACGCCTACCAACGACGTGGCGCTGCTGCTGCTGTCATCGCTGTCGGCCGAGGTGCGCCGGGAGCGGACCGGCGCGTTACTGCGCCACTACTGGGACGAACTGACGGCCACGGCGCGACGGTTCGGCGTCTGCCTGGAGACCGAGTACGAGTACTCGCTGGAGCGACTCGAACAGGACTACCGGCGCAGTCGGAAGCTGGCGCTGCTCCTCTGCGCCGGCTCCGTGGACGTGACGCAGAGCTGCCGCCGCCGCGAGGAGCGGCTCGTCGCCCTCCTCACAGACATGTTCGCTGAGGGAGTTTTCTAGCCACTGCCCGCCCGAAGCGTCTGGTGTCATGCTGCTGTGGTTACATGTGTCACATAAAGCTTTTGAGTAGCCTCGGGACCTCCTTCTCAAGAATGACGCTCGTGTTCTCCCGCTGACCACACAGCCAGCAGTGGCGAACGTTTCCGTCAAACATCCAACAGATTTGTGTACGCCGGTTTTCTTCACGTATCCGGAAGGCGTGCAATGCGTCATGGACGTACCAAATGCGTGCGCATACGACCCACCTCGTGGAACGAAACCATCAGGCTACGGTGCACGGTCGCTTTGACAAGCTTACCGAGATCAACCAAAGATGCAGTGCTAGTCTGTGTGGAAGTGGGAGTGTGGGGCTTGCTCGCGCTGACGACAATAACAGGCAGATCCAACAGGTTCACCTTGTTGGCCCATCGAGTCCATGACATCGAGCAAAGACATTCCAGTGATGCTAGCGGAGTCGTTCGGTTATTTATTTTGCTACGCAGCGTAGGCCACATCAAAGCAGAAGTTTGTCCACAAAGACGAGGATTGCCTCCTTCCACTGGCGATATAAGAGATCTATGGACAACCATAAACTGAATGGGTCGCTAGTGCTGAGCGAAACACGAGTGAAGTCGTAATAAAGCGAGCCCGAGTGGCGGGCCTTCCCACCACACTGAGACGCACAGTATCGCTATCGGGACGGACCAGTGCTGATTTGATGGAGAGCGGGACCGACAGGACGTTTTCACGGTCCAGCGCATCTGTCGGAACAAGTGACACTGAGATGTGATACGGCACTCGAGGTGTCCGCGATCGACACGGCGTGACCGGGGAAGCGCCGGAGGGGACGGACGCGCTGGAGCAGAACTGACGGCCATCCACCGAACCTCGTGAGCGCGCGACGCTAGTCGTGAGGGGGCGGAGTGCCGAGCCGTGAACGGTGAGCAAACCCAGCGTGACAAAGCAGTGGGGCAGCGCCTCCACCGCAGTGAGACGATCACAGCCCGTGTCCGAAACCAGCTCCAGCGGTTTTCTGGCAGATGGTAGTGTCGTCAGGACATGGACAAGCCCTGACTGGCCACATGTGCTGGTCAGAATCCACGCAGTTTCGCTGGGCCGTGGCAGCGTTGCACTTTATGTCAGGACAATACGTGCACCATATCTATGTTGCTAACAGACCGATAATCTATCACCCACAGAGTTTGCCCATTTTTATATCGTCCACCGATGAGTCATGATTCCTCTCTGTGTTCAGTGTTCTCATTTTAGATGATTGTATTCTCATTTTGTATTTATTTTATGAAAACGTTTTGCAGGCTTTGTCCATAAATAAAACAAACATCTACAGCGGGTACCTACTCTTCTTTCAATGCGGCTCCTTCAGGGCGCTATCATATGGCCCGCCCACTCTCCAGAGTCGATCGAGTGTGCGCGGCGAGCTGCCGTCTAGTGGTCTACCTCAGAGCTGCCAGCCTCTGGACCAGGACTCTCTGCGTCCCGAGGAGCCGCGGTCCGGCAGGTCGACCGGAGCCGGACGCTATATGAACGGCCGACCGCCAACAAAGAGAGATTGCCGCCGGCGGCGGAGGGGAGGGCATGGACCGTAAGTGCACTGGGATGGGAGGATAGTGCGAGACAAAGAGAAACGCGCGGGTCGAAAACGGTGAATAGAAAATGGACGGGAAGACGAAAACGGGTTGGCAAGCATAGCAAAGACGCGAGGTAAAACGGCAATGCTTCAAACATAAATTGCCGCGTTCTTCGGAAAGCTCTCGTCACCTGAATTCAATTTTCCGGCCTTTCTGAGAAACCTACACATTACAAATTAATCAGCCTTTAGCTTTAACGACGATCTAATCCGTGCAGAAGCGATACCCGGAGCGCGCAACAGTTCAGTGGCCACCGGTTGCAGCTGGCGGTTCAGCGGGCCACTCCGCCGGTCCCCCTGAGGGTGATCCTTACTGCTGGAGTTTTCTGCCCACCAGTGCCCCATCTTTGACCTCGACCCGACCGGCCAATCGTTGCCGGCGGCTATTTTAACCTCGACGGCCTCTAGAGGTCGGGCCGATATCGAGCCGCCATCCAACTAGGGCGCAACAATACAGACGCCGAGCCCGTGCGGGCCAATATTGAAATATGGATCACCAGGCCAGCCGGCCGGCGACAATTTCAACAAAGCGGTGAGAGCAACAACAGGAACCTAAATTCAGACCAGAAACGTAGTTGTTACGATAAATTGTTAATAACACACAGAACGGATCTACAGCTGCCTTCAGTTAAAATAACGATGTGTTTTTCAGCCGGAACCACCCCGTCACGCAACAGCCGTGGTCACGGATTTTAAGGACGGCGACAGGGTACTCTGGTGTGAAATTCGCTTCCGGTGTTTGCTGATCATTGGGCTCACGGTCCCAGTCTGCAGCTCACCGGCGTTCACCGCCTTTTAGCTGAACAACAAAACAAAACAGGGAACTTATCCCGAACAGCTAGGATATATCGTAATAGTTAAGCCCTGAAAAAATGCGAAAACTAGCATCAGTCGAGTCGACTAACTAAACCACCACTCCTAGCAGTCTGTCCTCCACAGTGCCAATCAGCGCTGTCGACAGTTACCAGCATGCCACCCAGCTCGTTTTCTTGTTCAGCTCAGCTCAGCACTCACCACTCTCCTGATATGTCTCTCAGCTATCGGTTCTCTCCCCAATGTGGTGTCCCTCCCTCAGGTTCGCGCATCCCGGCCTTTACGTCCGTATCTCCAGGCCCGCCCGTAGCCCTTTCGTCCGCATTTCTCAGCTCTTCCGTCCCATCCCTCAGGTGGTCACCGAATGACCTCGACCCATCCGCTCAGCGGTCTGTGGGCTATCTGTGGGCCGGCCGGCCGGCTGTGTGGGCTATCTGTGGGCCGTCCGTCCGTCCGTCTGTCTGCCTGTCGGCCGATCAGACCGGCAGCCCATCTGTCGGCGCACTCACATCGCGGCCAGATCAATCACCGGTCACTTCCGGCCGCCCGACCGCCCCGAGACCCCGCCAGAGCGGCACCCGACCATCCACCCACTACTCGGAGAGCTCCTACAGCCAGACCAGTCTCACATCCGAGCACAGAGGAACGCAGCCCGCAGCTCACACGAGCCGCGCGCTGGCAAGGAACCAGTACCGCCAAGCACGTCTGTTAAATCGATGCGTGTCGCAAGTGCCGGCGGTAGTCGTGGTTATCAGTAACAAGCGGACGCGCCCGTCTGGTTACCACGATCCATCGATTGGTGCCGAAAGGAGACACCGGACAGTACAAACACAGACCCACTGACCAGTCCTAAAAACGGTCCGCTCGACCAACTGACCAGAGAAGACCCAGCGAGCTGACCAAAATACACTGGGCACAACAAACTCCCAGAACAGTGAACATCACTTTGACAATATATTAGATGGACCTAATTTGGGCAGGAAATCGTGTAGCGATTCTTTGGGCAGCCGTAGGCGTGTCACAATCATCACCCCTGTTCGACTACGGCTTCAAACCAGCACCGCCACACTTCGGCGAATCAAGCCGACGATCGCCACCGTTCAGCTTTGTTTATCATGTCCCGAGTGGGGTAGGCAAAAGGCACCTCCGATAATCGATAGGCCGGCCAGATTAAACGGCCCCGCTCGACCAGGCCGCCTCCGACCGCGGTCACTGTTGGTGCTGTGCGTCACCCCGGTCCGTCACCATTTGTCACCCTGGGAGGTGCTGGGACTGATTGCGGCCAACACCATCACTAGTCACCATCAATGCGTCACCAATACAGACCATCACCAGCACTACCTGTCACCATTACCGTGTGTCACCAGTCGGGGCCAGTTAGAAGCTACTCCTGTGCAGAGTCCATTCACCAAGGTTTACAAACATGTGTAACATTATTTGTTCTAGCCAACGAAGCTATAAATAATCGTCTTTTTCGTCATTCTTGCAATCAATTGTTCCACTAACAACCTGACCAGCCCTGGTCGTCAAAAACGACTCAGCCAAAGCAGCTGCCAAAGGTCAAACAAACGCCCGGGTGGAGCAGCTCGCAGGGACCGCAGTCGCCGACCTCAACGGACGCCAGTCCGCGCAACGTCGCGCAGGAGAAACAGAGACAGAGACAAAGCGAGAACGAAAACGAGAGCAAGAGAGCGAGAGCGAGAGCGAGCGAGCGAGAGAGAGAGAGAGAGAGAGAGAGAGAGAGAGAGAAAGAGAGAGAGAGAGAGAGAGAGAGAGAGAGAGAGAGAGAGAGAGAGAGAGAGAGAGAGAGAGAGAGAGAGAGAGAGAGAGAGAGAGAGAGAGAGAGAGAGAGAGAGAGAGATGACGTAACCCTTGTGCCGAGCAGGACGTCACACAAGCGGCAGTCTCCTGCTCAGCAGCCCCCCCCCCCCCCCCGCCGGCACCTGCCACAGGTATCGTCAGCGGCCGGCCGGCGCAGATTGTACGAGACGCCGCCGGTGGACGACGGGACCGACGGGGCGGCGATCGATGGCCGATTCTGCGCCGCGTCGCCCCGTCACCGCCGCCGGCGGCGGCTCGGGGCGGCCGGGTAGTACACCGCGCCGCTCGGGATCCGTCCCAGGAGAGATCGATGGCACACGGACACATGCGCGCATGGACACGCCGACCGGCCGGTGGAGATGGACGATGAACGGGCATGGTGACAGAGACGAAGGTGTGCGAGGAGCCGCTAGAAGAAGGCACGGGATTTTGGGGCTCGGAGGCCTGGACGTTTGTCCCGTCCGGTGACCTGTGTCGTAATACTCGACATGCTTATGATGATTTACAGATCACTTGCTGCCATGCTTATTGTCAACAAGCAGGTCTTTCATTCGACGAGACAAATAAGAATAACCATATCCTGGGATCAGTGAGTCTCATCATCAAAAAGTCTCGTCAGCATTATAACATCTTAACCTTTACCGCAAATAACCATAATGATAGCATCGTCCAACTTATACCACGAAACCATCAAACTGAGCTGGAGATTAACGACCCACAGTATACGATGTCCGCTGGCCATAAAGGTCAACAAGCAGGAAACGACTATGCAGGATATATGCCAAAACATAAACCTTCAGGCTTCGAAACGGCCCACAACGCTCGGAGCCTACCGGAAGGCGAGAGAATAGAGCCAAACATGGGCACGAGATGAGTGTGAGTTTATAGTACTCCAACGAATCGTGCACGATTGGATCCTTGAATCAGCATGCTTCGAGTTGAAATTCAACATAAAAGCACCAGACCCCGGCCTCGAAATTTGAACTGAATCCGTCTCAGCGAACGGTAACGATACGGCACGTCAATAGTCGATAACGGCTAAGTTTGGGCCGTCTGTTTCGCTTCAGTCAACAGTGGGACAGACGGACGTTCTAGCTCGATCGCGTGTCGATTCTGCACCGCCGTCCGGTTTATTCCATTCATTTCAAAATGACACCTGCTTGGTTGCCCGTACAAAATGAATCTAGCAATGAAACTGGCTTAAGCAGTCCAACAGAAGTGCACCTAAAATAGCAATACTTAGTTATTCCGACTCCACTCTAGCTCATGACCTCCACTAACTTCCGCTAACCCTACCTCATACCACATTGCATTCTACTCCATTCCATTCATCCTAGCCGCGCTGCGAATACAGTCGATGGAAGCTCCCTTCCCATCGTTTCTGCACCGTAACATCGTCCCGCACTGACAGCACATCAGTCAGTCAGTCCACAAATAGGCCAGCGTGGCGCCGATCAGCTCCGATCAATACCATTGTCACCCTATGTAAGTTCCTTCGGTAGTCAGCAGTACCTCACGCAAGGCGAAGACGCACGCGGCCGGTCAGGACCGAATCTGGGAGATGGGTCAGTGCTGGATTAATCTGTTCGGTCGATGTGAGGCCCATTTCAGTCGCCAGTCAGTCCCGCGGGTCAGTTCAGTCGCCAGTCAGTCCCTTGGGTCAGTTCAGTCGCTAGTGCAGTCCGTCGCCATTTAAACGTCTTGTTAGTGTCGGTTCAGACGGCAATTCATTTAGTGCCGTCAGCCGCAGCCGTAATCGGACGGCTGTCGCCGGCAGCTGAGGCAATACCGGCAGAGCGACGGGGGAGGCTGTCACTGCCCGCACCACCGTCCAATCCAAACTGCCCAGGGAGGATGCCACAACCACACCATCCCAACCACCGGGGGAGGCTGCCACAACCACACCATCCCAACCATGGGGGGAGGCTGCCACTGCCCGCATTACCGTCCAGTCCAAATTACCGGGAGGCTGCCGCTACCGCACCACCGTCCAATTCAAACCGTCCAGTCCAACTGCCCAGGGAGGCTGCCGCTACCGCACCACCGTCCAACCACCGGGGGGAGGCTGCGCTACCTCCCTCATCAGACAGCATAGCTCCGTCTAGTCGGAACTTAACTGCCGGAGGGCTGCAGCCGAGCACACGGAACACCTGTTGCCTATGGATTTTACCTTCTCCTCTATCGTCCAAAGCAACCATCTACCAAGCTCGCTGAGGTCTAGAGATCTGAGGTCTCTGAGGTCTTATCTAGACCTCGGCTGAGGTCTAGATAAGACCAGCCACGCTGTGCCACCATGATGTTACACCCCCCTCTCCCCCCACCCGTCACACACACACACATACTAGCAGTGACCGCAGCCTCCCTCCGCTGACCCCGGGTGACCCCCGCCAGAGGGCCGCACTCACCGCCAGAAGCACGCCGCCTCCGATGAACGCGTTACGCCGGTGCTTGTTGCCCGACCGGTAGCGCACGTAGAGCTTCTTTCCGACCCAGACCGGGATGCCTGTGAACGGAGGCGACGGTTAACACCAGACACACACTAACGATTAAGCGTGAACACGCTAGTGTGTGCGACTTTGGGTGTGACCAGATTAGTGCGATTGTGCAGTATTTAACGGTGGAAATGGACCTCACCTGGTAGGTATATGTAAAAGCATGAGCGATAAGGCATGATTGTCTAGAAGTGACAGCGTCAGATAACCACAACAAATATTTCTGTTACGAGGCATTGATATTGTTAAAAAGTACGGGCCAAATACGGTTCCGGTTAAAAGCAATCAACACTTCAAGTTGACATGGTGAGCATTGGAGTTTAATCCCTAGAACACATTGGTCAGCACTCAGCAATCACTACATCAGCGTCCATTTATATTCATCAGTGCCAATTAGCTCAGCATTTCCAAGCAGCATTCGTGGTACCATGCAATCCCAACTTCTACACGTTTTCACCCTAACCGCCTACCGACAAAACATTTCATCGAAACAATTATTTTCCACAGTCGCAGAAGCGGCGGGAACAAAGCCTGCGTACCGACAAAGGCCGGCGTCGGACAAACAAAGACTGCTGCTGGCGGTCGGGTGCGTCTGTTTGTGTTCGCCGAGCGTGAGTACGGGGTCAGCTGGACGGCCGGCCGGTCGTGACCTGGACGACCGGCCGGTCGTGACCCCGGCGACCGGCCAGTCTCCCACAATTACACCACATACCGCTCCGGCGGCGGCCCGGGCACGGCACGACAGCCGGCGACGGGACAGGACGAATGGACGGAGGGACAGATGGCCAGGGCAGGACAGGCGGACGGGACTGGGCGGGGGCAGAATGGATGGACGGATGGACGGACAGGGCCAGGACGGATGGAGGGACGGGCAGACAGGCCGGTAGGGAGGATGGGCGGACCACGGACTAACGGACGAGGCAGGACAGATGAAAGGACAGGACAGTTTGGACGGCCACTGGTCGGGCAGCACACGGACGGATTCGGCTCGGTCACATACAGCCCTCATCGCTTGACTAACGTGATGTTAGGGATTAGGAAGCTTCAGAGACGCCCAACCCGTATCGCTAATCCATACCAAAAGACCGATCAATTACCGTCATATTTTCCCAAACGCGGTAATGTGTTTCTCTGACACCGTCTGTTCTTTCAGCCACAGTCTGATAGGCGTTTTGACCCTCAAACAAACGGGTTGTTTGTGTCTTATCCACCCAACGGGTGGCTCGGATCGTCAACTACTTTTCCGCTCAGGGCTCGACGTCTGTCTGGGCCTCTGGCCGTCAGTCTGAATTTCCTAACGCAACTGCAACCCTCTCCATCCACTAGAAAATGTGACTTTGAAGCAGACTAATCAGCTGAGTGTTTTAACTTGTCTATCTTCACCCCTCCCCCGAACATACCACCACCACCAACGCCCATCAATCACAAGCTTCTCCGATTGTACTTCTTTCCATTCAATTCGATTGCCAGCCAACTGTCTTAAGTTCTTGTCCCTGCCTTCCTCACTGTGCTTGTCGAGTGATCCCCTAAACCCCTAGTCAGCCACACTACAAAGCTCCTAACTAATTGGTGTGCGATTGCGTGCGAATATATCAGATTGCGTGCATGCATGCGTCCACATCCCTTCAATGCGAGTCTGTGGGCGAACGCGTCCCTGCGTGCGTCCCCACCTACCGATGATCATGGCGGGCACGGCGATCCCGGCCAGCAGAGCGACGCCCACCGGAGCGCCCACCAGCGTGCCCAGCTGCCAGAGGATCTTCTTCTTCCGGCTCCAAGGCTTCTTGCCCCAGAACGTGCAGCCGGACGGACTGGCGGGGAGAGACGGGTCGGCTCCGGTCAGGTCATGGGGTCAGGTCAGGTCAGGTCACAGCCAGTCACGATTAGGTCAGGGCAGGTCAGTAGGTCACGACAGGGCGAGATTCGTGGATGGCCGTGACTGATATATCAGAAAAAGATACAATTAAGCTGCTATTAACCCTGCTGCATCAAACCAAGAGACAAGCGTCCGAAACTCGCTTTCATTCGTCCCATGAGAAGTGATGCTATCCCAACATTGCACCCCTATGACACCTCTGGCTCACTCCCCTCCACCCCATTCTTCCCCTCCCTCCCCTCCCGGGACCTGCCGTCACCGGCGCCCACCTGAGGTAGTGCAGGTCGGAGATCTCCTGCATGCAGAGCCAGCAGAACTCCGCGCCGCACAGACCGCACGTCATGTGGTTACACGAACCATCGTCCATCTTCACAATCACTATCCGACAGCGCGGACAGTTCTTGATGTTGTCGCCTGCCGGACGGCGGGGAGGGATGGTCAGGGCTGGGACAGGCGTAGGGTGTGAGTAGCGTGTAAATATAACGTGATATGCCTTCGTCATAGACTCATAGGAGATACCGTAAGTTTCAGCTCTCATTCCAGCTGCTCTTAGACGCGCTAATTTACCCCCCCCCCCCCTTCGGATCGCATCTTCAACGGTACCCATTACGCCCTTTGGTCCGCTCTATGCTGTGACCCCACTGCCTTCCCTTCCCTCCTATACTCTGTCCTATGATGTGAAGTCTGTTTCCACTCTGCCTTCTCCTCCGCCTCCACCCGTCTGTGCTGCTTAGCGGGCTGATGGACGGCTGTGCTACCAGCCAGTCCTACCAGTTTCCCCTCGACATGGCCTGTGTGGGTATATGACTTCTTCTTCTTCTACACGTCACGCCGTGGCCGCCCACGGCCGTGGCTGCGTCGACCGGGGGGTCGACACGGCCCACCCGCCGCAGGTACTCGAAGATGAGAGTCGCTGATCCGCCCAGCACATGCCCCAGGCTCGGCAGAGGTCCGCCCCACAGGCGGGACCTCATGTGGGCGTACGCTGGGCATTCGGTCAGCAAGTGTGCTACCGAGTCTTCCTCCTCGCAGTTCGGGCAGTCGGGGTTTGTCGCAAGACCGATCTCGTGGAGAGTCTTCCTTGTGAGCACTGATCTTCCCACTCTCAGTTGAGACAGTGTCACCTGCTCCCACCTGGTCAGGTCCTCGTGTCCGGGCGTGGGTGGTAGGTGAGGATGAGCTTTGGCTCGGGCTGCGGTCCACTCGGCGGATCTGTGGCGTATCGCCGCTCGGGCGCCGGCCATGTCCAGCGGGACCGCTGCCTGGCTTAGCTCTGCCGCGGCTAAGCCAGGCAGAGGGTATATGACTCCTCTGCTCGCCTGTGCAAGTCTGTAACTCCGATCCGCACCCCGCCCTTTGAGCTCACCCTCATCCGTACCACTCAACTGTGAGCTGATAGGACGCTATTCTCCGGGCCCCACTCCCCGCGCTCTGTCCTGTGCGTGTCTGTGACCCCTAGACTCTGTCCTGCGTGTGCGAGTCTGTGACCCCGGTCCCTGCTCTCAGCTATTCCCTGCTATTCCCCGGTCCCTCTCAGTCTTTACCACTCAGAAACTAGCTGGTGGGTGACAGCTGTACCCCAGACTCCCCACCCTGCTGTTCTGGCCCATGCTCCCGTCTGTCCTCCCTGCCCTCTGTTCCTCCCCCCCGTACCGCTGAGCGAGCTGGTGGGCGACTGCTGCCCGCCGGCAGCGCTCGGTCGGAACTGCGCCAGCCGCTCGGAGCGCGCCGCGTCACACGTCTGGTTCGGGTGCCACTCGGCCTGGCAGTGGTAACAGAACGAGGCGCTGCAGCCGGGCCGGCCGCACTCGAGGCGCGGGCAGCTGGCGCAGCCGGCCGCGATCACCGCGTACCTGCAGAACGGGAGGGTCAGAGCAGGTCAGATGGGATCACAACGGGTCAGAGGGCAGATCGAGTCAGAAGTCAGACGGAGAGTGACACGAAATCAGCAGGAGTTAGGTAGCAAGCATATGAGGTTGTATTGTGCAACAAGGGGTATGAATTCAGATGAGGTCTAATAAAGACAGGTAGGGTCACAATGGATCAGTCATCGGCTGATGGCATGGGGATATAAAAAGCCGTCAGCTATGTCAGCTAAGTTGGTAAGAACAATAATGGAAGGAGGGCGCCGTGGTTGGGGGCGGGGTACGTTACGTACCCGCAGTCGGGCGCCGGACACCAGCGGGCGTCGGCGTCCGTGGCCAGCGCCCGGCGCACCATGAACTCGTCGTACTTGTTCATCAGCGCCGGGTCCTCCACAATGTGCTTGATGTCTGTCAAAGGAAGGAGAAGGTAGTTAGTGCGCCGGATCCATCACAATGTGTTTGATATTTGCCGTGGAGGGGGGGGGGGGTTATATAAGCTAAATATCCTATCACGGCTACCGATAAATATGTAGTTATTGAATTCGTTATCACGTATCAATTCAGACCAGAGCTCAGAGTATCAGCGATAAACAAATTCTAGAGATCAATTTGCACCGAATGAGGGAACGATAACAAGTTGGAGATGGACAACAAAGAAGCCACATAAATATACTATCAGCAGAATGATAACTATCAGTCAGTAGCCTGGTCAATATCGCTAGCATAGAAAGCAGCCCACTGCAGCTGAGTGTGACGTGCACCCGATTGGGGTAAATGTATCAACTCAATATCGGCTCAGATTGATGAGACGGGGCTTGGCTGAGACGGCTTTGCAGCAGTCGTCAGGGTGAAAGGCAGCTCTCAGAAAGTTAAACATTAAACGATTTCTGTCGAAAGTTGACTCCAGTCGGGTACCCAGCAACAGCAGCAGAGCAACAAGACTTGCTACGCTGTCGTATACGAGAACAAAGTACGAAACTCCATACAAGAAAAACACCAAAACGTCATCACTCAACAGAGACAAAGCCCCACCCCAGTACGCTCTTCAGTCAACCAGTTCTCATTCACGCAAACCCATCATCAATCCATCACCGCTCGAGTTTGTACGTCCGAAACTCCGCATCGATTTATCATCAGTGAGTGGCGCAGCCCACATCTGCGCAGTACGCCCCCTCCCCCCTCCCCTCTCACCAGTGGGGTGCAGAGGCTCGCTGCACTGCGGGCACATGATGCGCACCCGCGACTCCATGATCTCAATGGTCAGGTACTGTTTGAGACAGGCGTGGCAGCTCTTGTGCGAGCAGTAGGTGAGCCGCGGGAAACTGGATGCCGGCAGGGTGTCCAGACACACCGGGCACTCGATCATGACGTCCTCGCCGATCTGCCGGGGGAGGGAGCGGTCAGAGGGTCAGGAGAGGAGGTCATAGGCACAATAGGCCAGTTCGTGCCCGGACATACTGAAGGACATTACTAAACCTTTCGCACTGAGCTGCCAGGAAGACAGAGACCGTGTAAGAAGTCAACAAACACTTAGAAAGATAACAATAAACTCACCAGTCAACACATCACGTTCACATTGACTAATAACAATCACGAGGGAACAGTTACTCATGACATGTCACGGCCGAGTCCACCCGGTTGATATACGTTTCTGCAGAGATCTACATGCTGATGAATTCGTCATACAACCCCACACTGACGGCTGCGGCGCAGTGCACCTGCGACGAATAACGGCCCGTGCCTTTGATGACTGCACTATCTATACACTTGTGAGATGAGAAAAACGCCAGAAAAACGCCAGATATTACCGTCATCAGCCACGCAATATTCGGCTAGGAACACGGAGAACGGTCGGCTGGAGGCAGGGACCGGTGCAAGCAGGAAAGCCGTTTCCGCGACACGAGCTGTAGGTACTGCTTTGGTCATTACGTATGACTCCAAGTAGGTAACTGACTTCATAGATCCAACGAAACAGCGGTAATAAATTGACGACTTCATCAAACCCAAGGCGCCCCAGTCATTGGCGCTGGAAACCCCACAATGACTGACCGCTTCCATGGCGCTCAGGTGCGAGGGGCCCGCCACAGCCAAACTCTCCAGGGAGACCACCCGTTCTGGGCCACCTGAGGGCACAGACACACAGTAAACAGTTACAACACGGGGCGACAACGGACAGTTTGGGAAGGGGGGGGGTATAATCGTAGGTCGGGGGCGGTGGCAAAACGCACAAAATGGTTTAAAAGCTTGTTTATACGACGAAACACCACGACCTAGTTAACGCAAAAATATATAATCACAAAGACAATGCAAACGTACGTCAAAACCATACGAGAACTGATTGCTCCACTGAGATAAACAAAAACATGAGAAGAAGTACGTTTGTTATAGTCATGTGATGGCTGCAAAACGTAAATAGCAGAAGGCCATCTACCTTCTGAATATCGCCCGGTGAGCTGGGCCACGCGTGATTTTGCAATCGCAATTTGAAAATGAAAACAAATGCTCACCACAGCCCAGTCTCACTAAGTTACAGTGGCCCAGTCCCACCAGCTGTTACCCAGCACCCTATCTCACTGTTATCCAGTACCAACACGGACCATCGTTTCCCAGTCCCAATAACTCGCCACGACCCGTTCCCAGCGTTGCCCACGGCCACCAATGGCAGTCCCAGAGTATCACCTCACCGTTACCGTCCCCCAGCTCACCGTTGCCGCTGGACCTGGAGGCGGAGCGGGCCGAGCGGCGCTTCCTCGGAGACCCAAACAGCAGCCGCTGCAGAGAGAACCGCGGCAGGGCGCGCCGCTTGCGGGACGGCGGCTCGCCAGAGCGCGCCATGTCCAGCGGATTGTGCATGCCACCTGCAGACGTGCGACGTAGGGGTGGGGTGAGAGACGAGTGAGAGATCAGCTGGGGTGGGTATGGTGGTGAGAGTCAGGTGGTGACTGGTGAGAGTCAAGTGGTAGGGTGAGAGGTCTAGAGTGAGGTTAGAACTCAGTCCCCAACACCTGGACAGGTGAGGCGAAAGTGAGCAGACAGGGTGAGCCCAGTGATTCTTATAACAATCAGGAGGACAATGCAGGGTTGTGCCAGCTTACATGTAGCCTTACTGTATGCTGATTAGTGATTTTAGAGTGCTAGCTCAATTGGGACTCTGCTCCCTGCTCACATCCCTGATTTATTGTGAGCTCAAGGAGCAAGCTGAAGACATATCCTTCCCTAAAAGTCCTGCAGTCAAGTCCAGTCCTTCATTGTTAACACAATTTATTCAGATTTATGAATTTCTAGCTATGTGATATACAAAATTAAAGCTAAAACATAGTTGTGTTAGCAGCATGAATTTAAGCTTCTGTAATGAAATACGGTGTTCATTAGCTCCAATAAGGTTCAAGCAAGCTACTGAGCAGGACACATTTCCCTATTTTCCAATGTTGACTGAGGAACTGGAGCCCAAATGGGCTTAGTGAGTAATGACATAGGCAGACCAACAACATTGATATGGGTTTTTGGGGAGAAGGAAAGAAGATGAAGGAACATTTTCGAGAGTGTAGACTACCATGATATGATGCATGTTCTGTTGATAACAACAGTAACTAGATGTCCTACTCTTGTCTTTGAACTGGCATTTCTTCCTCCATATGTAATTGATGAGAGAAATTTGGTGAAATAAATAGATTTACCAGACATGAACTGCACCAGCTACAGAGTTGCAGACACAGTGACCACACCAGCACCTATCTAGGGTAGTCAGTTAACATCAATCACAAAATAATACTACACTGACCTTGAACAGTGCAGCTGGCCTAATTCCATCAAAACCCTGGCTAGGGGGCAGCATCTAATTAGGTAAGAAAATTTACATTTATTGCATATGATCCTGCAAACAATAAGCCCAAACTGCAAAAAGGCCATGAAGGGATAAAGTGAGCAGTGCTGGCTGTTTGCAAAGTCTAAAATATACTGAAACATGAATGATGGATTTGATAAAGCATTTTACTACAAATATGTTCCATCACAGTATGGTCTTCAAAAGAATGGGTCAGGGTGGACAAGAATGAGAAAATTGAGCATTAGTAGAGCAGATGTCACATGAAGGTTTTCTAGCCAAGGAGAGGTACTGCAGCTTTTAGGTTGTAGGCTTGTAGGGTAGGTTGTAGGTTGGGTATATGTGTAGATGAAGTATGGCTGGTAAGTTAGCACATTGTAGGTTGGTAGGTTGTAGGTTGAAGATTGTAGGTTTTAGGTTGGGGCATTAGTAGAGCAGACGTCACGAAGGTTTTCCAACCAAGGAGAGGCGCTGTAGGTTTGTAGGTTGTAGGGTATGTTTGTAGGTTGTAGGTTATGTTAGGTCAGGTTAGGTTAGGTTCATTTAGGTTTGTAATAAAGAAGTACCTCCAGGCATAGCGCCTCTCCTTGGTTCGAAAACCTTCGTGTGACGTCTGCTATACTAATACCGAGGTTGGTAGGTTGAATGTTTGTTATTTGCAGGTTGTAGGTTGGTGGGTTCAATGTTGTAGGTGAGAAGGTAAGGTAAGGTCAGGTTTGATGATGTTTTTTATCTTCACCGTAGGCATACTTCATCTCAATCCTCACATTTGCTGTAAGTAAGGTTAGGTCAGGCTATAGATAGGTTTTGTTGTTTTGGTTTGGCTAAAAAGAAGCATCTCTGGGTATAGTGCCTCTCCTTGGTCAGAAAACCTTCATCATGTGACATCTACTCAGTAATACCAAAAATTGAAACCCAACAGGTGAGTCCAAGTTTCGCAGGTCAAGGTAAGCATTCCAAATGATGCAAATTATTAGAAAGTCGATCCAAATTGAAGTGATTATAGCTAAAGCAAAAATCAAAGGACGAAAATTGGACTGCTCCAAAGTAATTTGAAATTTTATCTGATTCAGAAAAAGGCGCATGAATAGAAAAACATACGAACTCACCACAATAAGAGAATACAAGGCTGGAACGAATATTTCGTAACTTCTATGATTTCCACATATTTCAATTTCTAGCTATGACAATGAAGGAACATTATAAATTAATGTAATTGCCAATATAGAGGCTGTTAAGCCAATTAAAGTACAAACACAGCAATCAATTTCCACTTCAACTTCACGCCCTACACACACACGGACATGCCTAAGAGCTGGACTTTTTGCACGCGTTCCCCGCCAGGGGGCGCCACTGAGGAAGCACCCTCTGACGTCACGATAAAACTGCGCGCACTGTGCGCACGGGTCTGTAAGCAAGTAATATAGTGGTGGTTTCGTGGTGGAAATTGGAATAAGTATTTTGACGTTGTAAAATTTCAAGCCGTTTTTGTGAAATTAATTAGTAAATGCATTTCTAAAGTATTTATTTAAAGTGTGAAAGGAGAATAATTAGAAGAACATGGATATTTTTGTTCCAATAGCTTATTATGTGAGACATGATCGGTACTAACGGGTACTTCTAAGAAGTAGTGAAGAAGTACCAAACAGCCTGCTCGGCTACGATCGTCAGCTGTCCTTTGGAGCTGGACTTCAACGCTGTAAAAAAAAATATGTGCTGAATTTATTTTTAGTTTCACCAAAATATAAGCAATTTATCATTTCTTTTTCACTTTTGTAATTATTGTTGAGTGAAGAGACATGTTGCTAGTTCTGGCAATATAAATTATTAATCAAAAAAACGAAATGCGACGGTAAGTATCTGCTACTAAATTATCACTTTAACCAAATAAATGGAGAATCTTGCTACCATTGCTTATAAAACGTGCTTATCAATACACAAATGTTTTATTTCAGACAAGAAGGATTTATTTGCCTGAAGTCTTGCGTCATGTGCTACTGCTTTGATTCCAAAGACGCTCTCCGGGTCGGGGTAATTTAGTTCTTCATCGATCGATAAGAGATTTTGATTCCATTGATATCCAAATTGATAAGCTCGGCACCATGGAGTAAGGGCGTCCCCACAGGGGTGACGCAGGAATATGAATGGCGTTTACACCGACAGTAGTTTCCCACAGCCGGCAATGGGAATCTCCTGTCGGTGTAAACGCCACTATAGTCCCATCCAACTCAAACACTGGGGAATATCCCCGCACTTTTGAGGACGGAAATCTATGGACCTGCTCGAAAAATAGTGGATAAAATACGGCGAGCTTTCAGTTTTATGGTTGGGTCTCCCTTCCGAGGCACATATTTACGGGGGATATTGGGTCATATTCCCCCGGCGTCCTGATGATCGACGCCCAGCTCAACGTCGAAGGCGCCCTGATACGCGGCACTGCTATCTGTGAAGGTGCCCAGGTTGCTGCCGCTCGAATTTTGGTCGCCTACTTAACAAAACCTCCGTTGGTGCCATCTCAGTTTCCTCGAGGTCAGGCAACCTTCACACGCCGTTGGCTACCTTGGCTGGCCGGCGACTCGTTCCCCTCGTGGCGACGCTCTTGACATCCAGTCAAAAGTTGAAGTGGCTGGCGCCCCCAGTGGGGGCCGGGGAAGGGGCAGTGGGCCTCCACGTTGCTCTCTTCCCGAGCCTATGGTCACTTGGCTCAACTCTCCTCAATAGAATATGGATTCTGCACGCTGTATTAGCATGGGCGTAGACACCACTACGGACAATACGGACAGTGGGTGTGACAATCAGTAGTGCCATTCATATAGAGGGTGTCATATATGAGCGGAGAGGCAACAGTACAGCTGAGCGGAGAGACAACATTAAAACAACAGTACAGCTGGCGTTGCATGGAGCTGCAGGCAACCGGACAGCGGAGGCTTGCGAAAAATAAACAATTCGTCACTTCAACGTATAAACAATAGTATAAAAAGCAGCATAAACACATATTCTCATGGTCGAACCCATGCACTAGCGGCTCACGGCGGGCACAGGCACGCAGTGCGGTAGCGGTACCGGATCACACGTCATGGGCGTTGTCTCAGCATAGGTTGTTCGCAATCTAGTTGAAGCCTAAGAAGACGGCCAGTGGGGTCTCACTGCTGCTGAGGCGACCTCGGAGACGATGCGTCGCCCCTCCTGTCGGCGATCTGCGGTGAGCAGGACTCCAGATAGCTGTCCGGCACGTTGCCGACACTGCCAGACGCTGTCAGCAGGCCTCACTGCTGCAAGTGATGTGCAGATGGACGCCAGGTGACTTCGTCTGCAGGCGATTCCGGAGACCGCGGCCTCACCAGGCAGTACCACCTGCATCGCCATGTCGGTGTTTCTAAAAATGGAAAAATAACAGTATCGGTGAAGGACAAGCAATACAATGAATTCTGTTTTCCTCTCTTGCACGTATACGTAATCTACAATTATCATTGTTCCTATTTCATTCAACTGAACCTGAAAATTCCATATTGGCACATTGTTTGACTAAATTTGTGTAGTTGGGAACAGGGGCGACGCCACGGTGCGACGACTGGAGGGGACATTGACCATTTTGGAGGGGACGAGGACCATTTCAAGTCGATTCTTTCCATGCAACGCCATAGGCGTAATGTTAAAATTTAAAAAAGTGGAGGGGACGAGATCCCCTCCGTCCCCCCCCCCTGTGGCGACGCCCTCGGTTGGGAAGCAGATTGTTTGAAATACATGTTTGGCTGAACAGTGCGGAAAATATTTCATTGATCACTATAGCTGCAACAAAAATACTGAGACAGAAAACATTTGCGCTTACCTGGCTTCTTAGTCAGTCCCGCACAACGGAAGTGGTACCATTTATCGCAGCCGTCGCATCCGACCATCGGTGCTGCACTGATGCTGCTGCACTCCCCACATTCCCAGTACCTTAGGAGCGTCTTGGCTGTGAAAAGATTACATGAGTCATGGCGCATACATGAATAGTAAGATGTTTTATATATTTAACATCGCATAGCAAAGACACAACAGCTGGGAGTCAAGTGTAAGCCAAAGTGTAAGCCCTGCCATGTTTTGCAGACTGGATTTTAAGCAATAAAAGCGTTGCTAAAAATGACGCTTGACGAAGCCTCATCCTACTGGGCTGTCTGACATGTCTCCCTGTAAAAAGTTTGTGGCCCTTATATTGTATATATGATGAATATGTTAATAATGCAGCAAAAACACAGTATAAATTATACCCAACGTTTCATCTTAATCGACTTTGTCAAGGGTGTTTGAACAGCTTGAGATGAGTGAAGTGTAAGGGTACCTAGGTACATCTGAAAATAAACTGAATCTGCGTTCAATAAACATTGATTTTGATGATACATTTCACAAAACAACTGCTAATAACAATCATACTAAAATAGCAAGACAGATAACTAACAATCGCATGAAGAACTTCTTTATTCGCCTTGACATTGTCGTCCGAACGAATGTTGTGAAGTTACACATTTGTCTTTTCTGCGCAGCATTTGTGTTTGCCATTTACCGCACCAATGTTCGCCAGCGGTGGTGACTTTTCCTTACCTGCTCACGAAACGTCACACACGACATGACGTCACCCGAAGACGTCATCAAAAAGTCCAGCTCTTAGGCGTGTCCCAGACAATGTCAAGGCGAATAAAGAAGTTCTTCATGCGATTGTTAGTTATCTGTCTTGCTATTTTAGTATGATTGTTATTAGCAGTTGTTTTGTGAAATGTATCATCAAAATCAATGTTTATTGAACGCAGATTCAGTTTATTTTCAGATGTACCTAGGTACCCTTACACTTCACTCATCTCAAGCTGTTCAAACACCCTTGACAAAGTCGATTAAGATGAAACGTTGGGTATAATTTATACTGTGTTTTTGCTGCATTATTAACATATTCATCATATATACAATATAAGGGCCACAAACTTTTTACAGGGAGACATGTCAGACAGCCCAGTAGGATGAGGCTTCGTCAAGCGTCATTTTTAGCAACGCTTTTATTGCTTAAAATCCAGTCTGCAAAACATGGCAGGGCTTACACTTTGGCTTACACTTGACTCCCAGCTGTTGTGTCTTTGCTATGCGATGTTAAATATATAAAACATCTTACTATTCATGTATGCGCCATGACTCATGTAATCTTTTCACAGCCAAGACGCTCCTAAGGTACTGGGAATGTGGGGAGTGCAGCAGCATCAGTGCAGCACCGATGGTCGGATGCGACGGCTGCGATAAATGGTACCACTTCCGTTGTGCGGGACTGACTAAGAAGCCAGGTAAGCGCAAATGTTTTCTGTCTCAGTATTTTTGTTGCAGCTATAGTGATCAATGAAATATTTTCCGCACTGTTCAGCCAAACATGTATTTCAAACAATCTGCTTCCCAACCGAGGGCGTCGCCACAGGGGGGGGGGGGACGGAGGGGATCTCGTCCCCTCCACTTTTTTAAATTTTAACATTACGCCTATGGCGTTGCATGGAAAGAATCGACTTGAAATGGTCCTCGTCCCCTCCAAAATGGTCAATGTCCCCTCCAGTCGTCGCACCGTGGCGTCGCCCCTGTTCCCAACTACACAAATTTAGTCAAACAATGTGCCAATATGGAATTTTCAGGTTCAGTTGAATGAAATAGGAACAATGATAATTGTAGATTACGTATACGTGCAAGAGAGGAAAACAGAATTCATTGTATTGCTTGTCCTTCACCGATACTGTTATTTTTCCATTTTTAGAAACACCGACATGGCGATGCAGGTGGTACTGCCTGGTGAGGCCGCGGTCTCCGGAATCGCCTGCAGACGAAGTCACCTGGCGTCCATCTGCACATCACTTGCAGCAGTGAGGCCTGCTGACAGCGTCTGGCAGTGTCGGCAACGTGCCGGACAGCTATCTGGAGTCCTGCTCACCGCAGATCGCCGACAGGAGGGGCGACGCATCGTCTCCGAGGTCGCCTCAGCAGCAGTGAGACCCCACTGGCCGTCTTCTTAGGCTTCAACTAGATTGCGAACAACCTATGCTGAGACAACGCCCATGACGTGTGATCCGGTACCGCTACCGCACTGCGTGCCTGTGCCCGCCGTGAGCCGCTAGTGCATGGGTTCGACCATGGGAATATGTGTTTATGTTACTTTTACTATTGTTTATACGTTGAAGTGACGAATTGTTCATTTTTCGCAAGCCTCCCGGCTGTCCGGTTGCCTGCAGCTCCATGCAACGCCAGCTGTACTGTTGTTTTAATGTTGTCTCTCCGCTCAGCTGTACTGTT